TCTCTTATTCACCATACAGTAAATAAGGTTGTATCCCTATGAAGTGGCCTTGTGAGCATGTAGAATGTATTTCTCAGAAAGTAATAACATAAATGATTCCCAGTATATGAGGAAGATTATCATAAGAATTATTAAAGACTTGAAAGGTTAGTGAATTACCCTGGTATCTCTGGTTTTTCTGAACAAAAACACACGCATTAAAAGTGCACTATCACCACACATTAAAGCATGCACCTGCTGTCTGCCCTGCCACATCTATTTGATCTCCACTGATCAAATAATTCTCACTGATGTCCACAACAGCCTGATGGACACATCACAACATAATCAAGTGCAAATGGTTTAACCAGTAGGTCTTAACTAATTGCTTCCTGGTCTTTTTCATTTATCTAGCAGCAAGCATTAAGGACATGAGAGAGAAAGAGAGCAAAGAGTTTATACTCATCAAAGGCTTCCTGATTAGATTCGAGTATGTTCTACACTCTTAGACCAGATACATCAGAGACACTCTGATGCCACTAATACTAAAAAAATAAATAATGTGCACGCACACCCTTCAGATGTCCTTGTCCTCTTCTGCCTGCTTTACTGCCCTGCCTGTTATTCCAGGTACCCTCCTTACTATAATTGTCCCCTTAGAAATTGGCTTTTGTTGTCAAATTAGACGTGAGTGGACTATTAATAACCCAAATTTCCTCCAGCAGTGCACATTCAAGTCCTTCTTGGTCTATAACTGTAACTCTAGCTTGTTGTCCGGATGGAGAGCAGCCTGACTGCTGGGCCACATCAATACAAATGTCCCTCACCAAAGGTCAGAGGTGACATGGAGATGCAAGAATCCCTCCCAGTGGTGTGAGTGGGTCCCAGTGGACGGGCCCTTCACTGACAAAACCTAGTCATCAAGGAAACTGTCCTTGGTGGCAGATCAATATAGTCAGATACACTGATGGCTTGAAGCTGGGGTTTGCAAGCATGACAGAGTGTCAGAGTAGCAGAGTCCAGTTGTTATGGAAGCTACTATTATTTACCCTTAATCAGAGAGAAACATCATTACCTATCAACTGATAATTAATGACAACAATCCTCTTAATTAAAGATTGTGTGTGATATGTGTGTTAAAAGATCAGAAAATGACATTAAAGGTTGAATTTATGGCTGCGTGTTTCTCCACAGGAAATCAAAGAGCAACAGTCTGCTGAAATTCACTGGAATACAGTAAGCACCCTCTAGTGGTACAACCAGGTAGTAACATTCTCAGGAGTGTAAAAATGTACAGGTAACTGCTGCTTGGCTGCTTTATGTGCATCTGATATGGTAATACAGATATGAACTACAAAGAAGCAAACTGATCTGTCCTCCGACATAACTCTTAAAAGTATGTTTACTTTTAAATAAACCAGTTAAAATTCACTGGCTTATCTTTCACATTTACAAAAGCACCAGTGAGGAAGTTAGAATGAATAGAGATCCCTTGTCCTCCACACATCTCGATTCAACAAACTCGCCACACCAAAACACACACATCTGCAGTGCGTCAAAATGTGATCAACCAGCCACCGCATTTCCTACTTGCTGTTGCTGTTGTGAAACCATTGTGAAATCATGCTACATTTTGAATTTGTATGTGGTAACAAAGACCTGTAATTCTAGTTTGTCATCATAAAAAAAAGGGATTCGTGAAACAACATGTGGACTACAACTCTCATTCACTTAATTAATTGTGGCGCGCTGTCTGCTCAACAACCGCTTCTGAATTCAAAGCAAACAATGAAACCATTCGTTCAAGCATGTCAGGCAGAGAGTAGCATGTCAGTGGGAGGGAGCTGTTTGCCCTAACTGCGCATACACACACGCAAACAAGCATACATACAGAGTTCTGCAACAAAAGAGCAGGTGAGCAAATCTCTTGCCACAGCAAGACCAGGCAGGTCTGGTGAGGCAGAGGCTCAATAAAGCAGAGACTGATGCAGTGGAAAAGTACTGCTGCTCACCCCCTCTGAGACAGACCCAGGATCTGTGTGTGTCTTAATGTCTCTGTGTATGTCTGTCTGCGATTGAGAAAGAGGGGGTGCTGACATATTTATGTATATGTACACATTATTCATTGTATTTATGGGTATAATATTGTGGTTGTAGCTAGTTTTTCCACAGACAATGAAGAACACTGCTTTTCTACACATATGCACACTGAAATTGATAATGTACTGTATATAAAGACACATACAGGTCCTTCTCTCCCTATCACAAACACATACACATATGTCCAGACAATAGAAGTGGTTGGTAGGGAGGTGGAGAGGAGTGCCAAACAAAGCTGCATGTGGTGAAAAGTAGAGACACAGAGAGACGGACGTTAAGGGGGTGGATGACAGACGGGATTGGGCACATGGAAAGGGAGACATCAGTGGGAGGTGAGAAGCGGGGACAGATAAAGAGTGAGAGAGGCAGGTGGATAAAGGGACAGAGAGTGAGTGAGTGAGTGAGAGAGAGAGAGAGAAGAGCTGTTGTCACCCTTCTCTCATGCTTCTAATTAGATATTGACCAGCAGTCTTTGTCTGCTGGCTCTTTGTCAGTGTTTGACCTGCAGTGACCCCACTCCAATAGATTGCACAACCTCACTTATGGTGAGTGTGTGTATCACTCTGAGTATGTGTTCTAATATGCTAATAGATTATATTCTCCCAATGTGTCCTTAAGTGTGTGTATGTTTGCGGATATGAATGAGTAGTTATCAGCATGACCCAAAAAGAAAAGAGTGGTTGCTGGTTTATCTTTGCTCTGTGTTTACAGTATGTTGAGTATGTTAAGTGCATTCCTGTTTTGGCTTTGTGTGAGTGTATGTGTGGGTGTGCTTGCCACTCAATCATTAATTCCCTCCTTTCTCCCCTCCAAACACACCCTGCTGCCTGATAAGACGAGTCTTCATCGCACCAACAGTATGTTGCTAACATTCCTGCAAAAACATGAAACAAATAAAAGACTTAAAACTATACATTTGCCTGCCTTTAAATCTGTTATTATTGTAGTTAGCTCTCATCTTCTGGTCTGTTTTTATGTCTATCCATTGCTTAGTTATTCAGCAAAGACAGAGTCTATGTACACATAAACGATCTCATTATCTGTTCTTTCACAGAAAACATCAAGATGCGTGTGCGTGTCCAGCTGTCTCCACACAGCTCTGGGTAATGTAATAAGCCCCCTCTGTTCTAAGGAAGGAAACAGAGACTCATGGCTGGAATTACAGACACCCGCTCTCCCACAAGCACACAGACGAGCAGACTGATGGACAGAAACATCTCTGACATCATCAGGAAATGGAAACATTGGATGCTCCTCTATGGATTACATTGTGCCTTCATGCACATCCAGTTACATATCTGTTTAAAAGAATCTGCTTAAATATCAATAATCAAATAAAGCCTTCACATACTGTATTTGGTTGTGTGTTTGATTTGATCATAAATTATTTTACAGGTCTGCTCGGGCTAACAAAGCTAATCCTTGCATTTTGTCCTTATGTGGACAACTGAGTTGTTTGGAGGGCAAGTAACCATGGTGACCGGCACGGTCATTGGCATGGTGACGAAGCTCAGCAGTGGCCTAGCACTCCTAAAATCCCCTGATGTGATCTGGGACGCGTAATAATTGATGCATCTGTAACTGGACACTGTATTCACTGCTGTATAACACAGACAGGCAATTGATTCAAGGAATTAGTGTGTGTTTGTTCGCGTTTGTGTCTTTGTGTGTGTCTCTATGAGCAGGGGTGAGTCATTGTGTTGGCTACAGTCCGTACGAGCACGCATTGCGGCAGAGAGAGTGAGGGAGTGAATGAGAGAGAAAGAGAGACCTGATTGTGAAATAATATGATAAGACACAACTTAAAAACTTTCTGGAATGTAGAGTAGCAGTGAACAGTGTTGTTTCTAACTTGAAGAAGAACTGGGCTAAAGGCCACTTTGGACTTCTTGCGTACCATAAAAGTACATAGTATAATTTATAATAATAATTTATTGGCAGACATGGTATTTGGCAGTGTGAAATCATGATAACAATACTATATATATATTACACACATTGTGTACCTACGAAGTAACCTGTTCAAGTTAGGAGTGGCCCCTGAGACAGCTATCATGTCGAGCATGTTAAAGACAACCGGTTGAGGCATGCCCACTGATGGTGGCTTTCACTAGGATGTAGCATTTTTTTCTTCCCCTTTAATGACACGCAGGGACTCCTGCAACAGGAAGACATTACATGCATGTATACACAAATTCAAAAAGTAAGAATGGTGATAATGGGAGATTTCGGTTCACTTCATGTGGAACTCTTATAGGGAAGTGATTTGTAGTTGGAAAAAATACCAACGGGATCCACATTTATATTTACATGAGTCAACACTTCCTCTTTGTACAGAGCAGCCACATGTTAGTCACATCACTGACCACGTGAGCTATGTCATAGACTTACTGCGAGTATTTCAAGCCATGACGGCAGAATGTAATACTGTTTTCTGTGTCTTACACGGGATAATTTAATTTGCTCTGCTCTAAATTTATTAAAACTAGATCTTCTCTATGAATTAATAAATATATTAACCCCTTAAAATACCATTTAAGATGCCTTTATGAGAATGTAAAAGGTGTAAAAAGGTATGAAAATGGTACAAATTTAATTTCTGCATCTGTAGACATGCTACTGTGCGTGTGGTGTATTTGTGTCATTGCATACATGTGTGTGACCTTGCAGGGTCATTTGACCATCTGCTGTTTCTTGCAGCAGGATGACAGGCCTCTGGGCCACAGTCGGGGGGGTGGGGGCTCAGGCTGGAGACCAAGGGGCATAGCTGTTGGGCTTAGCTAGTCTGATTACTACATTGGATTAGCCCACTCTGTTTCATCTCTTTGTCTCCCTCTCTCTCTACTCTTCTTTTTCTGCCTTTCTCTCTCAGGAAATTCCTATACAGGTATGCAATCTCCACATTTATCTTTACGTCCTGGTGCCAAATAATTTGGTGAATAACTTCTAACAGTACTGAGTCAGTGAATGGATTAGATGGTTTCTTTTAACCAATGATTAGGATTTGAATAGCTTGTAAAAGAGACTGACAAAATATTTGCTTCACTTATCTGTATCAGCCTTGAGAGTGATACGAAGGCTTCTTATCTTATCATCTTTCTATTTAACAAAGTGTTCAGACATCAAAAGGAGGAGACTCCAGATCTCAAACATCAATAAGAAAGGGAAAAGATGGAATAAAACTTTTCTGGATGAAGCAGTCAGTGACTACAATATTCTCCTCCTATTGTCACGTAGTGAAAATGGAAACACTGTACGTATAAGTACAGATAATGGATTGAGCCAATGGAACAGTGTCCCCAAATAGATCAATGTATAACAAAAGATTGTGGCTGCTTAAGAGCACTAATCTACTATTATTTCTACTCTTAATCACTAAACCACAAAAACACAAAGAGACAGAGAGAGATTAACTCAAATAATCTGTGTCGTGCTTTCTTTAAAAAACTAAACAAAAGCAAGAAACACATCTAAACACAAGACAGAATGGAAATCCCAATTTAAGTTGTAACCCCTCCTGCCCCCTTCCACTCTGTTACGTCCTGTCCATCTGTCCACCCAGCATCTTCATCTGTTCATCCCACAGAGACAATACTGTAACTGTGAAGCTTTAGTTCTAAACAATGAACTGTCCTCCCTCGTGAGTTCTGAGGGAAATACTTGCCCTGCAGTGTCTTGGAGTGTGGGTGTGTGTGTGTGTATGTGTGTGCGTGTGTGGCCTGGACTAGATTAGCATTGTAAATCTTGGTTCGTTGGCGCTTGTAGCGAACATGGCATCTGGCCATGGTGTGAGTGAGGGCACCTTAGGACTTCTGAGCAGACAGCTGGTCACACAGACATGTGCAGATGTGCATGCACGCACATCCATACACAACAGCTGCTGACTATTAAAGCAACTAAACTAAATATCCATTTATATATCAGATTTTCAAGCACTTGTGCTGCTTTGTGATTCCAAACTGGGATCTGTTATGTTCAGTATGTCTGAATAAATGGGAAATGCTGTAACTGTTTTACTGAATAGCAGCATCACATGGTAACAAAATACAAACCAAATGCGGCTAAGTGCTGGTTGAAAAATTATCTGTTTTTTATTTTTATTTTAACAAGGCTTTGTCCATTGTGGCTGCCCAGTGTTACAATTTGGGCTTTGGTGTATTCACCCAGGGACACACACACTTCACACACATACACATATCTCCAGGACAACGCCCTGAATTAGTCATGTCGTTGTAGTCAGGCAACCTAACCCCTCTGAATCGCTCTTATTATGGGAGCCCATTAACACATTAGTGTTGGAAAACTGTCACTATGTCTACTGTAATCTTGTTTTAAAGTAATGTATGAAGGAGAAAGCACTGACCTTTACATTTGATTAACATTACACAAGCTGCTACTGAGCTCATGGCTCTGGCTTTGTTTCTTTTAGTTTCACATTAGCCAGGAGGCTAACTCCAGGTTTTTTTTTGCTGAGGCACGAGAGAAATTTGGACTTCAGCAGTACTCTCACTAAGGACATTGCCCTCATTACAGTGGATATCTATTGATCAGACAACCCCAAGAGGCTTGAAAGGGACAATGGAGGATCATTTCAAAGGGTCACTATATTGACTTTAATTGTGCCCTAGGCCACAGGGTCAAATGCTGGCTGTACGGTCAGAGAAACCATGTGGTTGATCAGATCCTGTATGGACATACGTTTCTATTGGTCCCTGTAACAAATGGGACAGATCAGCTGTGGTTCAGTGCAGCCTATCAGCATCAGGCAGCAGATGCAGTGGGGAGGGATGTGCAGCACTCTGCACCAAACTGAGGGCTGGGCCTCTGCAGAGGCCACACACATCCAACTCCTGAACTACCTTCCACTAACTTCTTTTCTATCACTGCACAGGCCTCACTCGTGCCAATATAAAAGCACACGCTGTTCTAGAAAGCTAGAAGTCGTCACTAACAGGAGCTTCTCCTCAGCCATACTGCATTCAAAGCAGCTCAACCACACCCCTCGTCACCAGCCGGTATGACCTTCTGACAAAGCCTTAGTGCTACAAGCACACCTTCACGCTCTTTAATCCCCCCATCTCTCCTGGGGCACCAGCCCACATACACCACACCTATCCAACCTCTCCACCACCACACTCACCCTTCATTCAATGTCCTATGAAGATCATCCACCCAACCACATCCCTCTTCCCCCTATCCCATCTGTCTCCTGTCCCCCTGATAACCAATCCCACAAGGCGCAGCAAGAGGAAACAGGAGCCATGGTAATGTGAGCCTCGGGTCATTATCCTGTAACAGGATATAGAGCCAGGCTGCCCTTCCCCCTCCATACGCCTCATCCGTCACTTTAAATCCATCTCTCTTTCTCTCTCTACACCTGCAGACCAGTCACTACTTTATCTGCCCTTCCTCTCCCTCTCTCTGTCCCTCCTGCTCTCTCAGCAGTGCCACCCTCCCCCCATCAGTGTCACGTGTCTGAAGGTGAAAACCAGCAGTCGATGCATGTGTACAGCCCGTCTCACGTTACGTTCCTCCTATAGTCTCCTCAGCATCAGCCAATGTAATGTGAAGCTGCATCAAAGCAGAGAGCAGAACAATGAGCAAGATGAGAGGGTGTGTGAGTGAAAAGCCCTCTAAGATTTCTACAGATGCTGAGCCAAATCTATCCTATCTCTATCTCTGTGCTAGACAAAATGTGCCCGGTTGTCTCTCTAGTATTCCTGACACATGCCCCAATCTTTTCTCAATAGCATCACTGCTGCCTCCTAACCCAGTCCTTTTCTGCGTGGCTCCTCGTGACAGCCTATCACAGCTCTTTACAGGGAATTTCCACACCGGAGGCCCCGCCCCCGGTTTGACGCAGGAAGCACGTCGCAAGCAATGCCCCCTGCGGCCTTGGGAAAGGACAGCTGGCAGTGCCATCGCACAGTGCGCCAGAGCGAAATTCGCAGAAGAAAGACAGAAAGAGAGCGAAAGAGAGATGGAAATGTAGACGACAGCTACGTGTGATATCAAGATACTCGGTACACTGATCCATCCATCACTCCATCCCTCCATCCATCTACCCATCCCTTTTCCCTTTCAGGGTGACCTCAGTGCGCACCGGATAAAACGCTAGGAAACACCCTTCACAGCTCGCCGCGGATGCGCACATTCTGTTTTATAACGCCAGCCTCTGCAGAGCTGTGACATCTCCCGAAATAACACACCACTCGCACTCATTATCTCACCGCTTTAACAAACTTCCACACAGCAGCAGCATGTGCGTAAGCACTTTTTTTGCACTCCCATCCCTTTTGACGCAGTGCCCGCTAATGCTGCCTGCTTTCACATCTAAATGAACGGACCGACGACTCTCTCTCCCATCGAGTCCTACATCTTCAATGTCTCTCTGTCACCGGTTTGCATTGCCTCTACAGCGGCTGATATCTCTCATGGTCCCTTGTCTGCGCCACCGCAGTATTCAGCAGCTAGGCCGCGGTCGGAGATTAAAAATTACAACTCCTTCCGCAGGATGGTGATGGAGCAGAAATTGCGCAATAGCTCACACCAGCAGTCGCATCTGCACCTTGGCATTTTCCGGCAGCGCTGTGTTTTTCCACCAGCCTCATTGATTCATTTGCATAACTAATTAATATTATTTAGATAACAGATGAGATGCTCTCTGAATCCACACTGACAAACTGTCGATGTAATGGACGCATCGTTTCTTTAATCTGTAGTGTGTGTAAATGTGTCCACTGTTGGCGATTATCGAGCCCCTGTTATGTCACAAATTAAAGGGGAAATAAGCTGGTGAGGCGCTTATTCCCGGTAACCGCATTATGACGCATGGGTCATCGAGGGTGCCGAGGATGAGACTCCTCCGCTGCTATGGCGTCCACTGTAAGGACGCGGAGGGCTCAGCATCCTCCCCGGTTCACCGCCGCCAGATGCTGTGTGACAAGACCGGAGAGAGGGCACTGCCAGCGGGGTTTAAAAGCAGGAGAGGACAATGAGAGAGGGAGGGGGGCTGAGAGAGAGAGAGAGAGAGAGAGAGGGGGGGGGGCAACGAGTGCATGCAGGAGGTCACAGTACACGGTGTTCATCCATCGCTGAGAAAGTCATACAGCATAACTATGTATTTAGGTGTCTTGAAATGTAAAAAAAACCCAATTTTAAACCACAGGTTAATGATGGGTGAACAGGATGGGCTTTTAATTGTGAACACCCCCCATCCCCCTCTCCCCCTCCCACACCAGAGCTCTCATAAGAATAAACCGATTAGGCCTACCATGGCTGGCAAGGTTATAGTCAAAGTAAGGCCTATCAGAGACCTGAAATACATATATGACACACTGGAAACCGCTAAACCACACAAATCTGCTCCGTTCTCATTCATACTCAATATCGGGGACCTATTTAAACGGACAAAAGGGGAACGAGCCAATAATATTCTGCTCAAGTCAAAAGCAGGCTAAAGTCAAAGTCAAATCACAGTGAGCGTTTGAATCGCGATGCTTTCTAATAGCTGCACCACAGAGGAGATGCTGGCTCCATCAATTTGTCGCAGTCTGATATACCAGGGTAAAAACACGGTTCCGCATTAGAGTCAATGTCACTCAGACAAACGCGGAACTTCATATAGGGAAAAAAAATGCCATTACGGCTCAATTTGAAGCCCTTCCTCGTCAGGAGGATGACATCAGGCTACCGCTCACCTCTCAGGCCACTTCAGGTGGGCTACAACGCAGTTAAGAAGTTGGAATCGTCAGTCTTACCCCCATGTTGGCGCAGTCACTCTTCTCCTCTCAGGTGATGCACGGCTTGAGAGGTGTCAGCCCCTCGCGTTGAATTATATCAAAATACCTTGCCTTGAAAAAATAAAAGAGAATATGCTCAGTTTTTGTTCAGGGTTGGCTTAAATGAAAAATGAGCAGGAAAAAGACGTCAGGGATTTTATCATTTGGTCTGACAAAAGCGTTTTTCTTGGGTTTAAATAAACTCTCAAACCTTCAAAAAGATTTAAGGCTACAATCTTTCCCCCCGTGAGACGTCTTTCAAATGAAATGTTGCGGTCTCAAGCGGAGCATCACGCGGGGATGCGCTTCCTTCCTCTGCTCTCTGATACTTGCGGTGAAAGACCGGCGATACTAACGAGCCGCACTGCTACCTTTTCAGCACTTGATCTCCCTCCGCGGCTCTGCCGGCTGCCGCAGTACTACCCTCCTCTAGTCGCACTACTCCGCCAGTGGAACAAGCGCCGCCTCAAGCAAATGAGTGAACGGTGGGGGCAATAGCACCCGCCCACCGCTCACTGCAGCCGGCCAATCATAATTCCGAGTTTCTCATCGCTGATGGGATCGCTGACCAATTGGTTTCGTCTCTGTCTCCGAGCGGGCCAATAGAAGGCCAATTCTGCCCCTCCTGCTTTACTGCAGAATTCCGAGGCTTGCAGCCAGCAGCATCGCAAGTCTCTAGGCTGACATTTTTTGTATAAATGGACGCACAAGGTTAGATTCTTAGTTGTCGTGGTTGTGTTTGTTCATCGTGTAATGTATCTATGTAACATAAAAGAGTGGGTTTGTGTGCATTATTGCATGTGATAAGCACCCTTGGATGTCTCATCGGTCGTGTCATGAGCATGTCGTGCAGCTCCATATGTCACTTCAGTAGTGGGCCTGGGTGCAGCAGACCCAGGAGACAGCCATACAGTCATAGTGTGGGTGTGTGAGGGAGAAATGCAGAAATCAGTCAATAACTGCACATCAGGGGAACGGTCGGCTGCAGACAGCAACCTGCAACCTGCAACCTGACTGCCAGTGCTTCAGCAGGTGAGCAGTTCTGACAGTGCAGAGTCAGCAGTTTTAGCTGATGTGGAGAGACTTGCACTCAGTGGAAAAAGCTTCTATTGAGTGGAATTTTTACTTTACTTTACTTCCACTCTACCTGAGTGGAAGTAAAGTAAAGAATCCAACCTGGCTCCTTTTTTAGTACTATAAGCTGCTAAAACAGCTGCAACAAGTATCCACACAGTGAGACAGGAATGAACCAGTCTAACAAATCAAACTGCATTCTTTAAACATCGGACAGAATGATGGAAATGACAGACAAGAGACAGAGAGGGAGGTATACTAAGGCCAAGGACAGTGTCAAGAGAGAACAAAATATGAGGACAGGAAAGAAAATTAATAGATCGACAGATTGTGTATTTTTCTGTAACAGTGCCAAAGAGATTCAAAAGACAGAAAGCATGAAAAAGAAACAGAGGACGTGAGACAGAGCGAAAGCTGGCCCATATGCAGCAGCGAGTAGCCATTGCAGGCCTTTTGGTCACGTTTTTTTTTTTTTTTTTTACCTCTGTGCTTTTTCACTGAAGGGACGATGCAGCAGTGCAGAGTCACGAACGCAGACATGCATGCATATAAAGCCATGCCTGATTTGCAAGGGAAAGCTGAGAGTCATGCTTGCTGTCCCTGCAGCAGATTGTTGCAATGCCTCACTGCCTTCCCTGCTGCAGGCCCAGACGATGACCACACAGCGTGATGAAACCCCAGAGCATCAGAACAGGGTTAGTTAGGGTTAGCAGGCAGTCAGTTCCAACAGTCTTCAAACATGCCACTGTTTTTTTTTTTTTACATATTTAAGCTATCTGATAATACTGCAGATAACTAACATAGCTTAAATTTAATTCAGCAGTGACTAATCATGTTTGTGGTTATTTGGTGTTTGTAACCTTCTTGAGCTACCAGATGGGTGGGGTAAAGTTTCAAGTACACATTCTGTTCCCAGTGTGAAAAATCCCACCATTACTGCACTGGCAGGATGTGAGAGCAAATGTTACCAGTTTTACTTGCATTACTGTCTGACCGAGGTCTGGTTTGTAAAGACCAATTGGCACAGCTTATAGGCCTGTGAATAGCCGACTAATGCATGTAAATTCAGATTAATGTTGGTTGTTAACCTTTTACCACCTTCTGTTTAGCCGGGTATCACCATGTAGAAATTTCACAGCTAATATTATGAAAAGTAATCATATGTTTTTATATTATATATGGACAGTCAATTATAAAAGTATAGTATAAAGCTGAAACATTAAGAATCTGATTGCCTTCCTAAATTCAAAGCACTTTGGCAGTACAACAATTTAAGGAATTATTGGAGACTTTATTTCCAAATTCATTGGAAGTATCTAACAATATAAAATAATCCATTTGTTTTCATTTACGTGGACCAGACTCTAAAAATGTGAGGATGGGTGTTAGGGTTAAATAAAGCTATAAAGGCGATATGCACAATGACTCAGTAAAAGCTGTTTGGGGAAGCTTTTTTTAAAAAAAATTATGAGGTATATGTTTAATTTAATAATAAGTTTAAAACTATAGCACAAACACAAATCACATTAAATGTATTTTATTATTTTCCTGTCTCTGTTAACTCATTTTTGTAATGCATATAGACTATATATATACAGACAGTATATATATACATATACATATAAGTGTTGGGCAATGTATATCATATAGGAAATGAACAGTAAGTATAGAATTTGATCCTGAAGCCCACGCTGCTGTTCATGAGGGTGACTTTGTCACTGTGGTGCTGCTAATAAAGTTATTTTCAATCTCGTTTCAACCAAAATGGCTGCCAGTAGTATCCTTTCTTAACCTCTGTCATACCTTCATGTTTATCACTCCTTCCTGCCAAACACCTCCCCACACCACCCCGCCTTGCAGTACAAGAACGGAGGGGAGGGAGAAATCCCCCCAATTCTCGGTCTCCACAGCAACAGCAGTCAGATGACCTTGTCTCCGACTTGTTCTGCTGAGTCAGAAATGGAGGGATGGGTGAGGGGGACACAGTGAGGAAAGAATAGCAGGAAGAAAGAAAGAGAGGAAGCGAGAGATGACACAGAGAGAAAGGTAGTACTTATTGTTATTCTAACTAATTATGGCTCAGTGGATGCTGCTCATGTAGACAGTGCTGTGTAATATGAAGCTGATTTGTGTGTCTTAAAGAGTAGCCATCCATACAGGACTCCAGAGAGACAGAGGGCCATGAGCAAATGTGATGGTTGTTAGTGATTTTGGAAAGTATGTTTTGAATGAGTCAGAGCTGCAGATGAATATCGTGTATCATGAGGTGTTGGTGTCATGGGCCATGTGTGAATGGTTTAGGAAAATATGTGTGAGCACTATTAAAATAGAGTGCAGCATGTGTTAGTGTATCTATAAATACATACACAACATGGCCAAAATACAACCATACATTCATATCTTATGTGATTGTTGAAGAACTTATTCCAAAACCATGAATGCTTATAACAACATATATATGATATGTCATTCCACTTCTACTTTTTCCACTCTACTGGAAAGATTGTGAAACCTGGCTGCCGGGATTTCATCCCATCCAGCCACAAAAGCACTACGTGAGGTCAATGACGTTGGGTGGTAAGGTCTGGCTTTCATTCGGCATTCCAGTTCATCCCAAAGGTGTGTGATTGGCTTGAAGTCACAGCTCTGTGCAGGAAAGTCAAGTTTTTTCACAATAAATTCACACCAAATAAATTTCTTTATGGACTTTGCTTTGGCATTGCCATGTTGATAAAGGACAGGACATAACCTGGACCGTTCTACACAATATTAGGATAATTTTATGCTATAGCATTAGGCCCTCCCTTTAATGCAATTTAGAGACGTAGCCAAAAGCCATTAAAGACAGCCCTAGGCCAAAAGAACCCAGGGCACAGTACAGTATGTAAACAGTGGTGTCCAGATACTTTTGGCCATATTATACATGAACAGACAAAATTAGGGTTTGAATGGGGCTGTACAGAGTCATTTATATTTGTGTGTGTGCATGCATGTGAATGTGTGTGCGTGTGTGAAGGTGATCCTAGCTAATCCGGTTTTATAAATGTCTGACATAATCTGTGTTCCACTCACAGTGTCCAGAACAGGGAGAAGGAAGGGAAAGTGGCAGAGACAGAGAGAAGAGGGAGCAAGGGGAGAGAAGAAGGAGAGACAGGAACAAAAAGCATAGAAGGCTGAGATTGCAGGGGAGAGATGATGGAAAGGCAGATGGGCTTATGGAGGATGACAGAAATGAGGCGTGAGAAAGGGGGAAGGGAAAAAAAGGATGAAGAGGAAAAGAAATATGACAGAGATGAAGGAGGAGAGAGCCAGCTGGGTGGTGGAAAATTCCTCTGGGATTTAGTGTGGAAAGAGTGACACAGGACTGTCAATGAAGGTTTGGTTATCATGGAACAGCACATGTGTGATGAAGGGCAAGAAAGGAGAGATAGGGTAGGGCAGAGTCTGTAATCAGGTATTTGATAAGGAATGCAAAAATTTTTTCCTCCTCTCCCAAAAAAAGAAAAGCTGAACCTTGTGCAACTTCCTTTGCCAATACTGTTCTTAATTAAGGTCATGCCAACAAAGCAAAAAAAAACAAAAACAAAACAGGGTTGTGGCGGGATTTTATAAATCTAGGGGATTCCACATAATGTACACATGGTGATTATTTTATATGCCTTTATGAATCCAGTATTTTAGACTTGTATGTTCAAATTGGAGTTGTTTTCGGCCAACAAAAACAAGTAAACACAACTAAATGCTATGCGCACCCGACTTATAGCTGATAAGGCCTGTGCTCAGGTTGAAGGTGGATGGAGCTGCGCTAGGAATTAGTCATTAGTCACCAAACTCTTGTATTAATAAGAAAAATAAAAGTGTCCCAGTCTAAGAGGTGCAACCACAGACTTTACAATTAGAAATGGACGTATTTTTCAATGACATCACCCATAGGTTTCTAAAGAGCCATTGTGAAGCTCATCGTGTGGTGACTGTGGCCATCGCCATCTTGGCAGCCCAAAATGGAAATGGGCAAAGACATGGAGCGTGGATGGAGCTGAGGTAGGCTAAATGAACTGATACTACTGATAACATCCACCTGTAACGACACCAACCCTTCACTCAAAGCAGCCATGCTCTTAATTATGCATAACTTATAATTAATATAATTCCAACGCCACTACAGTTGTCATGAATGGAGATTAGCTACAGAGACTGAAACCGTTTCTTATATCAGGCTGAAAAGCTGTAAAGTTGGGCATTTTAATATGGGACCTTATGGAGATTGATTCCTGTTCTGTAGCCTCAAGTGGCCATTTGAGTAACTACCGTTTTTGATGCATTAGCTTAATTTATCATTTGGGTGCAACAAACAGGGAGATGTCAATCGAAGGCCGTTTGTACACACACACACACACACACAGACACACACACACACACGCATACACACAGACACACACAGTTATATGGATAAATAAAATTGGAAAATTTTAAATAAACAGATTTTAAAGAATTCCTTTGTGGTGTCTTTGTGGGGTACATTAAGAGACTTCATGACCTGAGTATTTTAACATCCTGGCAACTGGCAAATTTTGATTAAATCTTTTTCGCCTTAAACATTTAACATGTGACTTATCCATTTTAGCAAGCCAGAATCCACAACACAGACCTGGAACACCTACTGCAGTCTATAATCATGTTATTAATTACACCTGTGCTTTTCCTGCTAAGACATGACAAAATGTTTGCCATGAAAAAGGCCCATTTGAATTTTGAGAGCAAAAGATTAAAATTGAGGAAAAGGAGGGCGAGGGGGGGTAATTTTTGTTGGAGAAGCTGATCGACCGCAAAAAGTGCACACATATATGGAGTAACTCATCAGTTTATGTGATAATCAATTCAAATGCACATATGACTTCAACCTGCCTCTATAGATTTTTTCACAGCAGCCATTTTGAAATGAAACGGCAGTGTAAACACAGGTGTTACCAATGACACTAATTATGGCTCAGTTCAATTTAGAGTAGCAGAGACTTTCCAGTGAGCCAACATGCACAATAGCAGCAAGCGGACTCTGTTTGAACTAAACGGAACAGATAACCCTTATTAGTATCATTGGTAACACCTGTGTTTACCCAAAATAGATGCTGTGGAAAAGGTATATAGTCAATCTTTTTCAGGCAACTTCACTCTCATTCCATCTGTACACCTGAAGCCTCTAAAGCGTTTCCCCTCCTCCGTCTGTCCTCCCTGACCCCACCTCCTCCTCTGGTAGCTGTCCTTTCAGCATCACCGCCACTGCAGCAAAACGTTCACACCAAGTTTTCTCTTTTTTTTTACTACTCCACCTACATCTTAGCTACATAATACCACTTACATGCCTGTCTGAGTAATGTCTGCAAACAGCAAACAAAGAATTGGGAACACCATGCTTCTAATGTTGAGTTGATCTGCACTCTCTCAAAAGTGTTTTCTGATTTAAGTGGATTTGATTGGTGAAATATTCATTGCTTTCAGGTGGTTTTGCTGATACATTTCCCAGAGATCAGCAGATGCCAATATCTCATTTAAATATAGCATCTTTTTTATAAAAGGAGTCATGATTGAAAGATTTATGAGTGAAACTAAAAAGCATTTAATGAAGTCTCTCAGTCTGCAAGGCCATTAGAAGGCAAACATCCATCCACTTGTTTTCCATTTTATGAAACTGCTTTTTAGTAGGTATTTATTCTCAGAATGCACTCAAAGCACACTTAGACTTCCATTAAGACTTCATAAACTCTAACATGCTGATATTCTGCTATTAAAACTTTATATGGTGCCACTATCAGTCTGCCACTATCACTATCTATCACTCTCATTTCGCTTGTCATTCAAGATTTATATTAGATACTCAAAAGGTCAAATTAGGCTTTCTGTATAGAATTAAAGGCCAATCTTTTCTTAACTCTGCTAAATAATGCGTTATAGTTTATCATAATGAACTGCGAACTGTCCTCAAGATAGATTTGTTAATTCCCTTTGGTAATTTTAAAGCTTTATTTTCTGATGTTTTTGTTATGACTCTTGTAATTGTTTTACCAGTTCTTTGTCACTTGTTTACTGGCCTTATTTGTGTTGTTTCTGTATGCTGGTTGTGTGGCTGCAGTGAATGTTTCGTGTTTTCAGGTCTTTTTTGGGAGAGAGATCTCAATCTGACCAAATAAAGATTGTAAAAAGCCATTTGTACCTTGTAAGCAGAACATTTCTTTGATGATGTAGGTTATTCTTAGAATAGTTATGCGTCATTTTGACAAGTGATTTCAGAAATAAAGAAGCTACGAGGCCTCTGTTTTCATTGGAGCCTTTCAACCAAGGATTGAGCATTTGAGAAAATCCTCAACGTTATTTAGTTATATTAGTTGTTCATTATTTTCAAAGAAACTGAGATGTAAGTGTGAGTTTCGCTCTGTTTTAAAAAAAAAATATGTTAATTCTCTTCCTTTTCAAACCCTAATTTCTCACAATAAAATGATTATTTTATTAACGGTCTGCACAGCCACAGAGGTGTTTTCTGTTAAAATGGCTGCTCAGGTGCTTTGAGATACCCTAAAGAGCGCAACATAACAGGAGAGTGAGGAAGATGCCAGTCAAGCACAGTTTGTACATGCCCACACAGTCCTGATAAGAGGTGTAATTAAGCAACATAAGTGAAAACACCTGTGTAGGCATAAAAAAGGTGTAGCATAGCATGAAGACATGAAACAGAGGTTCTGGTAACAACAATCAGCCTATCAGCACCATTAAAGCTCATAATTAATGCTGTAAATCTAATTTATTATATATATCTATATATATATATATATATATGTATATATATACAAAGAGCAAAGTGTAAAAATGACAACACGCGGTCTCATGGAGGTCATGTGCTGGAGTATTTCTCGGCCACATGCATTAACTTTCTGGCTAGCAACCTGCACAGTTACAACAAGTGTTAATCAATGAGCTTTAGAGGTGGTGGTAGAAAGACTTGTTTGCAGTCTTAATGCTAAGCTAAGCTAACTGGCTGCTGGCTGTAGCTATATATTTTCAGTACAGATATGACAATGATATCATCCTTCTCAACTAACTCTCAGAAATTCTAAAGTGACACAATAACATGAATTAAATACTTATTAAATACAAACAAATAGTCCAAGGTCGGGTAAGTTGTTCTCAAATGAAAATATTGTTCATGATGAAATAAAATTAGAAGTACTTAATAAAGCACAGTCATTTGTATCTAATGTTCAAATGTACACATTTCTTTGTAAATGAGATCACTAGGATGTGAGAAAATGGCTTTTGAGTACTATTCAGCAGATTAGCAGATGAGCTTTTCACCCAAGATGGGGACTGATGGATTGTAAAACCTATTAAGTGGAGCACTCAGTTTCTAGGATTTCTTTTTTTTTTTTCAGAATCATACTCATCAACCACTGTTAAATCCTCTTCCCATTCCAGACCGTACATTTTGCTTAATGTGTTCACTGTGGTGGCCATTTTGCTGACTGTTTATCTGCTTCAGCTGCTTTGAAGCTGTTTTCTTTGTGTTTTTTAGGTCTGCTGAGCTTGTAGTGTGTCACACTTACTTATCGTAAAGGAAAAGGTTTGCTTGGTTCAGACGAACACAGAGTGTTTTTTTCACAGCCTGTGTGCGTATTTGCAGGCAAGCATCCTTTGTCATTCTGATAAGTGACCTGTCATGTAGAGTACAGCAAGCAGCCTCAACCTGGTTTAAGAGACAGGATACAGTATATGAATGTGAGTATGTCAGATATTTTGTCAGCATCTTGTGTTAGCTGAGTGTGTCTTCAGTTTCACTGCTGCATGTGCATGTGAGCTGCTGCTATGTGTGTGTGTGTGTGTGTGTAGCAAGTACAGTGAGCGGTCTCAGGAGCGATGGGAATGATGACAGTGTCGTAGCAAAGATGGAGTCGAGCCATGTGCTCGGTAGGGGTACTGGCCCTTTAATACCTATCAGCCAATCAGGCAGGGGATGCTGGGAGCAGGCCGTCCTTGGGAACGACCTTGCAGGGGGGCAGAGCGATGGAGAGGATAGAGAGAGAAGAGCACGCAGAAGGGGCAGATAAAGCAGAGGTTGCTATCGAGTGCTAAGAGGATGGATGAAGCTGGGAAAATGTATAGCAATAAAGATGTAAAATGTATTATCTCTGTCGTATCTGTACCACAAAGGTACATTTACTACCAAATGAAACAGACAGATGGTTACAATTAATAGATAGATAGTTAAATGCAGACAGATATCATACAGATGAGTGAGAGATAGATAATTAAGGACACTAAGAGGATTAAAAGTTCAGCTGCGTAGTTTTGCCTTACTCCACCTCTCTGTCTCTTTTACCAACCTCTGTGACAGACATGCAGACGTCATCGCGTGCAGATTAAACTTGCAGCATGCTACACTCCTACTCTTGCGTAAGAATTTCTCTGAAAAGAATGAAAGAGAGGAGGAAGTATAGGGCTCACAATACAGGATAGAGTCTCAGATTTCTTTCAAATGGGAGGTTGACTTTCTTTCTCAGAGATAGAGTATGAAGTTACAGCTAGGAGATGGTCAGCTTAGCGTAGCATAAAGACTGGAAACAGGGGAAAACAGCTAGCCTGGCTCAGACCAAAGGCAAAAAATCCACCAACTAGCGCCTCTAATCTTATTTATTAAATCCATACAAAAACAAACAGTAAAAAGAACAAGTTAGAAGATAAAATTGTACAATAAAAGACTCTTAATCACAAAAAGGACATGTTATTTTTATGTAAACAAATGTGTTACATTAAAGGCTATTGTTTTTATTATTATCTGTGCATATTGGACATATTAATATCCTATAGATTCCTCTTTAAACACTGTACATCTCGTTTCAGTTTAAAAACATATATTTTACTTTTTTTTAAATAGAACTTTCATATTTTTTATTGTAAATGTCTGTTATATTTAGAAGTCTTGACTTTTACTCTAAAATACCGTGGAAAATTCTTTGTATATGAACAGCTAATTGGAAATGAACCCGATTAAGATTCTTTTTTCTTGGCTGGGAGCAGAATCCACCCAATTTCTTTTAGCTTTGGAGAGAGCCAGGCTAGGTGTTTTACAGTCTTTAACCTAAGCTGACATCTCCTAGTTGTAGCTTCATATTTATTGTACAGGCAAGAGTAATATTGATCTTTTCACGTACATTTTGGCATTAAAGAAGAGTGTATTTCCAAAATGCCTTAATATTCCTTCAGAAATTTAATTTAGACAGATTGTTATGTCTAAATTTATATTTTTAAAGTCAGATACTAGGGAGCTTATGCTTCTAGCACATTCAGTATTCAACAGCAGTTGATTATAACCTAGTTAATCTCGACAATAGACTAACGATGCGCTCACTTGCAGAGTACCATGGGTTTCCAGGCCTCCTCCATATGTGGTGTCAGCAGGAGGCACAGCAGTGCTGTGGCCCCACCAGATGTGTTGCTGTGCGTGTG